AAACGTTTGGGAATGTACCACGTCCACGGTTCAACTTTGGAAATAATCATGCAGACAATGGACTCCGGACAAGGTGCGTTGCTCTAAGTCTTCCTACCAATCTGGCCATGTTGCGAAGACAAGGTCAAACAACGTCTATACAACGAAAGGAGACTGCGACCACACAAAAGGCCACACCATCTTGGTCTCCTACCTTCGATTAATCACTCTAATTTTTTAAGGTGATTTAAGGAATGATAGTGGAATTTCCCTTCACTTATACGGATATGCCTGAAGGGACCATTGAGTTCGGCTTGGCTCTGGCTCCCATAAGATTCTTCCATCCAGGCTGGACTGCAGTTTCGGCCTCACCTAGGTCCCATTCTCATCTCCAACGAGATTAAAAATTTTTTTGCAGGCAAGGCTAAATTGAACTCAGTGGCATCATGAGGTTTACTCATATTAACGTTATACAATTATAAAATTAGTCCATAAGTCACCTTAAATGACCTGGGTTGACTAAGTTATCATAAGATTTGTTTGTTTTAAAAGCTCTGGTTACCCACAAAAGAGTTGAGAATATAGATATGTTCACTAAATGACCACTAGTCGGCATATTTAACAAGACAAAGCTAGCCATGACCGAGCTGCTGGCGAAAACTCACTCTGGATCGCTCATCATCAGCACAACTAGAGCCATTGGAGAGGTCGTCTTCAGCTGGGCGAAAGTAGGGTTTGAAAGAAAAGCGGTCAAATGGCTTTGTTGGCACGATGTATGAATGGGCCGCGTCGTAGCCGTTAGAGACGGAGTAGTTGTAGAAGCGAGTGCGGCAGAAGAGGATGAAGAGGTTATTAATGGTGCTCCTGATGAAAAAGTCACTGTAGTATTGATGCTACTGCTTCCGAAAGATGTGATTACTGAGGTGGAGGCTGCTGAAACCTCTGTTATAGAGGTCACCTGCATCTGGTCATAGGTTGTAGTGTTTAGCTTGGCCTGACCCATGACTTCGTCATGACTGGAGTCCCAAGGGCCAGTGAAATCAGAAGAAGGGATCCCGTCAGTGTCTCCTCCCTCATTTCCTAAATTGCAAACATTGGCCATGGCAAGCCCAGGAAGCAAGGTAGTATTGACACCAGAGACGTTCGTATTGCAATAAATTGTAGTCGTGATATTAGAAGTAGGTGTAATGGTGGTTAGAGGAGCAGGGGCAGAAACAGCTATAGAAAAGGTGCTGTCAGAACCAAGGCCTCCCCCACTTCCAATAGCATCAATAGCAGCAGTCCCAGAAACTGAAGAGGGGGCTACCATCGTACAAGCCTCAGTCATGGACCCGGGTGCAGGCGAATCGGCAGAATGTGTGGGGATGTGGGAATGTGGAATCATCTCACCAGAGGAACTAGTGCCCAAGGAATTGAGAAGACGAGTCAACATCTTGCCGCCTACACTTAGACTGGATGCGGCGGCGGCAAGATTCGAGCTCGATGAAGTGGCAATGGGTGCAGCAGAAGTTGAGGTTACAAACAGAGGCGTTTGACAATGGCTTATCGTGCCGATGGACGAACAAAGACCCCAACCCGTAGAGCGGAGTAAGCTATTCTGATCATCAGGGCCAGGCGATATGCAAGTGCCAGAACTCGCGCGCATTGCTGAGGCGAAATCAAGAAATGATAAAAATAGGATGTACATGAAAGATGACATTATTGGTGGCTAAAAGCATTTTAAATATTTATTTATTTATATAAGCAAGCAAATGTGTGATGACAATAAACCGGATACGCCACTAATTTTATCTAATAGTATTAAATTGTCCGTAGCATGAAATATTGTGGCTTCACCAGTAAAGTGCTTGCCTCTTGGCCAGCATTTCACGATTTGCATCTCGATGTGAGTGATAATGACAGCAAGATGATGTAGAAACTCCAATATACATTAGAACAGAAAGGTCTTTTAAGGATATAGGGCGAAATGAAATTCGATGCAAAAAACAAACTTAATAGATTCATTGTGGGTAAAATTGCTATTTGCTAAAATAAAAAGCTGGTCGAAATGAGTAGATCTTTAAAGCAATAGGAAATATGATAAATGTGACCAAAGCGATTTTAAACATTGCCTTGAAAATATTACCGGCCCTGCAAAAGGATTGTGGCTCTGCCTCTGAGCTAGCAAGTCGGAACCCATAAAAGGTAATGTAGGGACTTAGGCAAGGTCTAAACTTCAATTCCTTTTGGATACATGGTATAGCGGGATCCAATGGCTTTCTCTACAAAATCGAACATTACTCACAAATTTTAGATATAAACATTGATTATGGCAGAAGTCGAAACTATCACTACGCTTAAGTTAAAAAAATTGAGCTATCGCATTATCCAAAATAGGAGTCTTGTACAAGGCAACTGGATGATAAGGGAAAGATATTGCGGAATGTCTTGGTATTCTAAGACTCAAGGTTCAACTGTAGCTAACATAGAGATTTTAGGATATATGTGGTTTTAAATAGTCACTTTAAATTAATTAAAGTTAACAAAGATGAACTTAGCATTATTCAAACAGGTAATAATAGCTTTCATTTGTGGAAATGCAAAGCTTGCACAGGACCTTATTTAGTAGGCACTCAGGTTTTACCCCTAATGGCATAAATTGACAAAATAGGCTGCTCGAGAGCGAACGATAATACTGGAAGAAAGCAGCAGGTGTGAATATTTTATTAAAGCCGGACGGAAAATATGGCAGATGGAAGAGGAATAATGACTTAATTAGTTTAAGATATACCCCGCTTTGAAAGAGCAAAATATAAAACCATGGTAGGTTTCGAGACAATCAGTAGGTTTTAATTACGAACTGTAATCACCCTCTGTCACATAAGATGACCAAATACTGATGGTTAAATTTTCATGCAACGATATGAAGTGGGCTTTATGATGCCATTGAAGTTCACTCAGCTTTGCCTCCCTAAAGGCATCTCCTCCAGGATGCATCGCAGGTTCGACCTCGCTTCGCAACCCCAGTAAGAATCGAACACGGGTAGCGCAGCTACCAAGACAACCGAGCGAGAAAGGTGAATGCATATAATATTTTATGTGTAAAGGCAACTATGCCAATCTAGAAATACATTTAAAGAAAATGCCAGAAATAATACCAAGTTGGAAAAATCAGGCATAATATAAATATAAATGCGAGTGCTATTATCTACGGCTAGCTTTAAGTATAAGGCAAGTTGGCATATAAAAACGATGAATAAATATTAATGTCAACATGGACATCACGTAGGATACGGGAAAATAGTGTCAATTATATGGAAAATAGTCTAGTTCGGGTGGGAGAGGAGCTGTAGAGAATGTCAGAAGACTGATTTAGCATGATTAGAGTATGCATACCAAGCTAGACTTCTAAAAGTGGCATCTAAATTACAAAGGAAATAAGAAATACAGGATTAAAAAACTTATAAAATGAAAAGGTAGCCTCAAGGAATGTCGATTAAATGGCTGAATTTCCCATAGGAGAATACCCTAAACCTATTCATAAGAGAGCAGAAAGAAAGCAAAAGTCAAACTAAATTAGGAGCCACTTTAGTGAACAGTTTTTAACTGCATATGCTAAGCCACAGGGTGACTTGAAAACAATCACCTTTATGTGAAGAAAAGTTGGGTTTCCAGGAATCTCTTGTTTCATAATTGTTGAGCTTACTTCCATTTTGAGTGAGTGTTGGGTGAAGAGATTCGAAGGTTGGTTTCACCAGAAGGCGACGAGGGATTCCTCTTGACCAGCGGTCGATTGGCTTTACCGGAAGATTCATGCTGATGCTGTTTCCGAGGTAATCTCCCTCGATTCCGGTGATGAACATAATCAGAGCAAGGCTAACACAAGCAGGCCAGATATAAACAGCAATCGATTGAGAGTTCGTTTCGATGATCGTACAACCAGGAAAAATTGCAGAAGTTTCCTACTATTGGAATCGAGCTGTCAATGAAAGATGAGACCTGATGTATACAAAAGGCTGTCACCTAATAATGGCCATAGCC